CGGCTTCAACGACTTCAACTGCTTGTCAAACTCACGGCTTCACCGGCTGCAACTAGAATTACCTATTGCCTATGGACATCTCTGATCGCAACTGTTGGTGTACCAAACATCCGGGCCCCTTTGTCGGTAGTCTTTACATAGTTAGCAGGGATTGGAACGTATTTCGATCTACACAGGGCCCCCACATATGCAGAACCTCCTCTATACATACGTGTTTACATGTGAGCTCAGGAACATAAGCTCAGATGTGGACATTTGTTAGAATGGACCCACGACTTCCTGTTTGAGCACCCATGACCGGGCTTATACGGTCCATAGGATTTACGGTTCAGTGTCTATAGGGTGTGGGGCTAAAACGAGTCGCCATTGCGGGTGCGAAGCTCACAGCTGTATACTCCAGGCCTTCGCTGCCCCATAAAATTGCAAGTCTGACGTAGACGCGGTGTATGTACATACAAACATGTATATATATATATATAATTGCGGTGGCACCTCTGTGTGCATTTCGGGTTTGGTGACTTGTGCTTTGCTTGTCCCATGCCTGGAGGATGAGATTGCCTCCCTAGAAGCGCAGATCGTGGGAGGCAGTTGTAGCCGCCTGCGCGGCAACAGCGTTAGGTTCAGGGTTTGCAGTTGAGGCTTAGCAATGTAGGTTTGAGGGCCAAGAAATGGAAAATGCTTATTCCCAAGATTTCTCCCCTGATGCACTTTCTCACATTGCTTGGGATCTATTCGCCTGACAATTCCGCTATTGTGTCTCAGTAATCCTCCGTACTTGTTGGCAGCCTCCTTGCCTAGGCGGCAATTCTCATCAAAGCCTTTTGACAGTTGGGGTGAAAGGATGAGAGACATGTGGAGTTCCTATTCGAGGCTTCCAAAAACTAGGGCTCCCTTTGGTGTAGTGCTTGGGGGAATAGAAGCAGAAGGGGCCCACACAGTTTTTGAGATAATCCTACAAAGAGATGGATGGAAGTCCTGAGGTTGAGGAAGGATCAGGAAGGAAGAGCTCTTACCGAAACCCTAAAGTCCTAAAGCCTTACAATATAAGGTTTACAGGCCAGGAAAGGTGAGAACAAACAGAAGCAATGTACAGTGCGGCTACAACTCAGAACCCCTGCTTTGCCCAATGCCCAAATCTCAACCATGTCGGTCCCTGAACCCCTGTACCCTGCAGCCCCCCTTAAGTAGATAGAATATGGTTTGGGATGGATTATAATCACAAGATCCCCCTAAACCCCCTATTCTATCTACTTTGGGGGGGACTATACCTTAAACCCTAAAGCCTAAATCCTAAACCCTCAACTTTATATTCTATCTACTTAAGGGGGACTATACACCCCAAGCTCTGAGGCTCTTATGCTGTCGCCGGTTTAAAGAGGCGCCTGCAGACGTTGAAGGCATCCTGCCACCGCAAGAGCGTGGGGATTCCTTGGAGGTGGTTTAGGGTTGTTCAGGGTTTAGGGTTCAGGGTTTAGGGTTTAAGGTTTAGGGTTTCAGGGTTTAGGGTTTAGGGTTCAGGGCTGATCAGCAGTTGGGGGGTATAGTCCCCCTTAAGTAGATAGAATATGGGGTATACGGGGATCTTACTATAGTTATGTACCAAAAGCATCCGAAAGCCATATTCTATCTGCTTAAGGGGGACTATAATTGTAACCCCAGTTACCTTTTGTGGGTTATACCTATTCATTTAGGGGTAGCAGCTGCTAAGCTGCAGGTATTGGGCTGACATGTAGAGCCTAGACAATCCCAAAGATGAGTTGAGTCAACACGATGGTCGCCTCAGCCCGAGGGTTTCTTTTTTTTCTCGTCGAATGGGTTTGTTCTGGATTCCTCCCCTGGTTGGGAGGACGCCCTATGACTGCCACAATGTTTCACTTTAATTGTATACCGGTCTCACAACAGACTTTTATAGGGCGGAGGCAGCAGCCAACTTCTACTGAAGGAAAACTGCAAAATCTGATCCTGAAGCCATCAACATCTGCAACGTGTGACTGCATCCCGAAAACCCTATATCATGTTGTAGCTTCCATTTGTGTTTTCCATTCTGTCCTTCCCACACTCCCTAACAGCAACAGAGTAAAGAACCTAAACCCTGAACCCTGCATATCCATCAGTCCAAAGCCCTTACAAAGAGACCCAATATTTTTCCATAAGCCCTTTGATTCCTGGATCCCCCGACAATCCCTATACATTACTCGCCCTAGATCTTTCCTTAACTTCAAGGTTATTTAAGGTTTAGGGTTTAGGGTTTACGTAGGAGGTTTAGGGGTTAGGATTCGGGCTAGGGGGAACCTGGATGGGTGGGTAAACAGGGAAACCATGACGTGCTCTTTTAGTAGCCTCTGTATGAACTATAGTCTAAACTCCTTGAAGTGGGATATATAGGGGATGATATATGGGAGTATTATTGGCCTTATTCAGGGGATACTAGGAGTTTAGACTATAGCTCATATACCCCCTTGACATTTCCCATTTCTTCTTCATTCCTGGCCAACAGACGTAAGTTAAAGGCTAGAAAGGCCTAAGCCCTGAACCCCAAACCCTAAACCTTGAACCCTGACAGCACCCTGAAGCCCTAAACCCTTCACCCTAAGCACTAAGCCCTACCTAACCCCAAAAGTAGGTAAAATAATGGCCCAAACCCTTTTAAAATAGTCCAAGGGCCATTATTCTACATACATTGGTGGTCCAGGTAGATCTTCAACCCTACACTTTCAATCCATGCTTGACTCAGGCCGCAGCTCTCCGCGAGGAGCGCGCAGCTGCTGCGCGGGCGGCAGCTGCTGCGGTGGTCCGTGACGGTGTGGGAGGAGGTCGGGGGCACAATACGGTATATAGGGCTTACATGATTACCACTCCGATACTGGGTTCATTTGAAGTAGCCCATAGCAAAATTATACAAGGAATCTAGGGCCGACATTTTGGGAATGATTCGTTCAGGTTTCTACAGAACCTGCTTAAAGGTTATGGTTAGTAAGCCCACCCTAACCCTATTGTAACCCTTTATAAGTAAGCTACAGTACCTAACCCATTCGTAACCCCAGAGTCCCGTAAAGTCGGGATCTTTGTTTTGGGTTGAGGGTCCTTTACTTGACAAGAGCTTGTCGTGGAGAGGTTCAAAGACGCCTGGGCCCATAAATCTTCAAGCCTTAATCCGACGGTGCATTGTTTTAATTCTTTGGTTTTAGTGCCACAGTATTTGCGAATGAAATTAAGCCACCATAAGTACCTACACGTACTTGCGCTAGCCGCTGGATCCCCTACCGGGGCCATTGGTCTCAACATGCAGGGCATACTGGGCATGCAGGGCACGACATCATACAGACTTTCCACCCCAGATCGTGACTGACTCTACAGCAGAGCGCAATCCTCACAAGTTCCGCGCTGTGAGCGCTACTTGGGTACTGATGGGGCCCCAAGCTAGATTCAAGTTATGACCATCCTAGTCCCAGCCGTTCGTCTTAGCCTTGCGCAGAATTACACACCGACTTTTTAGCATTTTGCCTCCCTCATGCTCAGCTGATTTGTCAGGTTATTGTGCCGATGGGGGTTATGCACGGCAGCGCAGCGCCCTAGCTGCCGCGCATACTTTTCATTTGCTTGTCAGCGTTTGGAAAATAAGTTTCCCTTCATTGAATACCAGAACTTCCATGAAGAGCGTCCATGAAATGGTTTCTGGTTAGAATTTGTGGTAGTCTGCAGGCGGCAGGTCCTATAGACCAGGAGCTACTAGCCCCTTAGCAGAGCCTCTATATCTTGCCTAAACCCTGGACAGTGGAGAAAAGGTCCCATAAAAAACATGTTGGCATTGCCGTTTCGCGTTGCTGTTTGGCATGGTGCTTAGACCCAGCAAGCTAGTGAAATCCATCAATCTGTTGGATTTGGTAGAGTGGAAGTTTGAGTTCAGGGTTTAGGGTTTAGGGTTTGAGAGTAATGTGGCCCCCCGCTGTAATGCTCCCCCGCACCCCGACAACTCATAGGGCCCCCAGAGATTTGAAAGTGTGCTGATTTAGCTTAGAGGGATGGTCTGGGTTCTCCCACGACCCCAAGATGAAAGCATATGAGAGGGGGCCTAACAGCTTAACAAACATTACCCCTGATCCTGAATAAGCCGGCCCTCAAGCACATCATCAAAAGGAAACCTCCAAGGTGGTTTCATGCCAAGCGCGGAAAAAGTCATAAACAAGTTGTGTTCGCTAAGCGACTTCAACAGGCATGAGCCGTACGTAAATTCAAAGTATATGCCATGAGTCACTGGTTGCATGGGTACGCACTACACTGTGGGGCTTCGCGTTTTTGGCCTAAACGACTGAGCTGCTGAGGGGTGAAAACAACAGAGCCTGCGTGTGCATGATCTTGCATTCAAGCTAATCTTGTCTAAAGCCAGCGTGGGATGCTAGACTAGCGCCAGCGCGCGACATTGCTTCGCTCTTTGGCCTCCAAAGTTTAATCTGAACCCCGACGCCCTGAAGCCAAACCCTCCAAAAAGCAACAGCGGTTACCGCCCGCAAAGCCCAAAGTCTAAACCCTGAACCACACCCAGAGCCCAAACCCTAAACCCTGAACGTCTTTAACAAAAAGAAGAGCGAAAGCTGCGCCGAGGCGGCTCCCTCAGTCGACCCACCTCGGGAGGCTTCCTCCCACTTCTGCGACTGCAAAGGGCTTTGGGGAAGTTTAGTTTTTTTGGTACTGGCTTTAGGGTGTTTAGCATTGTTGAATTCTTGAGAGTTTAGGGGTTAGGATCTTGCATGTGAGATTTTTGTGGTTTTCATGGTTTCATCGTTTGCAACATTGTCGATATAGCGGTTTCTTGCTGAATTCTGAAATGAGTCATAGTCTAAACTCCGAGCATCCCCCCTAGTGACTCCTATAAATGTCCCCTATCTAATCGTCTACATTTTCCCCCTTCACGTAAGGAGTTTTGACTATAGCTCAAATGGCTTAATGTATATTCTTTGAGGGATTGGGCTCCATGGCAAGCGCCTTGGGGAATATCTGTCTGTTTTGACGGTTAACAGGTTGGGTTGACGATGTTACTTGTTTGTTTGATCTTTCCTAAACCCTAAACCCTAAACCCTTCTTAGAGGCTTTTGCAGGTCTAGTGGTGTGGGGCTTCAAGGATGCTTCTGGGGTTGGTGATGTAGGGCACGGGGAAGCGGAGAAGTGTAATTGCAGTTCCAGGTTCTTGCGTCTCGGAATATGAAATTCTTACCTGCTACAATCATGGTTATGTGCTTCCATTCTGGGATATTTGTTCTGTTTCCACTTCAGGTTCCACTTCATCTTAAATTCGGAGTTTGATTTGGAATTTGGTTTCTGTTCAAGTTCCATTGGGGCCCTTAACCTCAAACCCTATACCCTATACCCGACCCTAAATCCTAAACCCTATCCCCTGAACCCTATACCCTAGATCCTATACCCTAAACCTCATTTCTGTTTCCGAACCTGTGGATAGACAGTGCAAGTGAACAGTGAGCATGAGAGCCCAGGGCCGCCCCAGACCTTCCAAACTCCCCTTAAAAACCTCCTTAAAACGGGTTTAGAGTTTAGGGTTTAGGGTTTAGAGTTTAGGGTTTAGAGTTTAGGGTTCAGGGTTTAGAGTTTAAGGTTCCCTGGGTCAACGAAATTGAAATGGAACACTTTCCGGGCATGGACAAGATGACAAAGTTTGCGTTGCCCATTTCGAAAGCCATCATTGCAATGATCAGTAAAAGGCCAAAGCAGCATGAACCACAGATTGAAAGGAAGCCAGAAGCCAAATGCAGCCGCAGCAGGGACGGCAAGGCATAATGCAATTCAGAATTGAAACCGGGCAAGCAGAAAGGGAGCACAATGGAACAACAGCAGAATTGGAAACGACATAACAACAAAATGGAGAAGAAACACATTTGAATGCAACCTGGAAAACATAAAGGAAGAGAACAACAAAACGGAAAACCAAATGAACATCCCAGTTGAAACCCAAATCCTAAACCCTAAACCTGGTGGCCCCACTGTTGGGGAATCAGAAATTTCATAAGTCTCAGAGCTGCCCCTAGTTGCACGGCAGCTCAAGCTCGGTTTTGGGTTCAGAGGCTCAGGGTTTGGGGTCAAATGCCTAAGCCCCTAAACCCTCGGCCATGATTCTGACTCAATTGGACTGTAGGGCGTTCTGCTTCGCCCAGAGGAGCACTTATTCTTAAAGTTCAGAAAGCCGCGAAGCGTTTGAGTAGTGCTTTAGTTGAGTTGGGGGCTTAGGGTTTAGGGCTTATTACAGGCTCGAATATAGAGAGAAAGATGGTATTCTTGTACAGAACTTTTGTGGAGAAGAATGAAATATTACTTGATTCAGCTACGACAAACACCGCTCATCCGCGCAGGTCCCGATGAGGGCTGAAGAGACATTCCTGGGCTTCTGTTCTGGAACATGAAAAGAACTGGTGAGGTTGTGTACTGGTAGAGCAATCCTTTTCTCGCAGCAGCCCGGGGAGGGTAGCCGCCGCCATGAAGTCGGATTTCAAGCCCTTAAAGCATGTTTTAGTGCTGTTTGTTTGGCCTACTTATCGCCACGTAGCCTTTCCTAGCCACTAGGTTCTCCGTAGTCAAAAAGACTGTGGGGAATGGATTCTGTGTTCTGGGTCCGAATTACGGTAGGTACTAAAACTAATGCACTTCAGTACCCTAAGCTTCGGGAATACTGGTACTATAGTATACTACGGTCATGCAGGATTTTTCGCATCACCAGTCGGGACGGGTGGCCTGTTGCTGAGCCGCATGTTGTCCCAAAGTTTCTGCCTGATGGCTTGAAAGCTTCAGGACCCTTCTTACTTGCTGGTGGTTAGTAGGGAATATGGGAATATAGTATCTAGGGACTATATAGGGATTATATTCCCCTATTCCCTACTAACAACCAGTACGCTTAGAAGGGCTTCGAGTTTAGGGTTCAGGGGTCTAGAGTTGAGGATCTATTGGTAACCGGCTTGGAGGGCTTTGGATTCAAGGCCTGGGTTTAGGGTTCAGGGAGTAGGGTTTAGGATGTTGGGAATATAGCCCCCCTTAAGTAGATAGAATATGGGGTTTATGGGGATCTTATTATGATATACCCACAGCCATCTTCTATCTACTTAAGGGGACTATATACCAGTTTCCGGGGCGACCTCTGTTAAACCCTAAACCCTATAGACCGTATTTAGCGCCCCGCAGTAGGGCCGCGTGTTCTGGAGCTTTAGATTCCTATCTGACCGGCAGTTTGCTTGCCAAGGGGAGCTGGGGCGCTGTAGTTACAAGTTAGTGAAGCTGGGGTGCTATGGTTACCTAGAACCCCCAAGTACCCTTAAATAGGGTCTATGTAGCTTCTATTTGGGGATACCTAGGGTCTATATAGGGTACTTGGGGGGTTTGGGTAGGCTTTAGGATTTAGGGTTTGGGTTGAGGATTGCCAGGGCTTCGGACTTGGTAGTTTCCCAAAATGCGGGGACCCGTATATAGACCCCCATATGGTAGGTTCCCGAAATTACTGTTCCCAAAATGGGGGAAATTTATATAGGGCCCCGTATTATAATAGGAACCCAAATATAGGACCCCGTATTGACAGTAATTTAGGACAATCCCCATATAGTATAGTCCTTATTCTTGGGACCCCCAAAATGGTAACCGTAAACCCTAAACCCTAATTTTGGGAAATCCCCCCTTAAGTTTTTGAGCCTGGCAGCCTTTCATCTGCGAGCTTGAACTCTGTACGTTTCACTGCGTTGGGAAGGGGGAAGTGCGAGACAGACTAGGAAGCAACCGCCACGGACTTGAACCTATCTATCCATAGGGGTCCATGTACCCAATGACTGCCTGGACCCTCCAATGTAGTTCCTTTTTGGATTTGTTGTGATTTTTTGTTTAGGACTCTTATTTGGACTACCAAAAAAAGGTACACATTGGAGAGTCTAGGTGGGTACTTGGGTTTTCAGTACTAGTGATTGGAGTGTAGGGTTTGGGAAGCATATCATCATTTTTTACTTGGCCTTATTAAGGTGTAGGACGTCTCAAAGAGGGGATACACTTAGTCATAGGGTCCTAAGGCTGGGGGGTCCCCCTTATAACCCTACGACTTAGGGACACTGGACATACATAGGGAGCTTAACGAGATTGTCTGAGTCCACAATATGAGAGGTCCGCAGGGCATAGATTCAAAAGTACCAGAGTTTAATCAAGCAGCCAAGCAGCCACAAATGTTACAAGATGAAAAGAAGAGAGACAGCGCACATCCTCTTAAGGAAAGGAGGAGAGGAAACAAAGATATTTACGTAGCGCGGAACTTTGTACAGTTGCCTGTTCCGCTTCGGCAAAACCCAAGGGCTCCAGGTGCTCCTACAGCATAAGACCGCTCTCCGTGAGGTTTAGGGTTTCATGAACTAACTTTTGAATTGGATATCAATAAAAATAATCTTGGCAAATTCTTTAGAGGGCTCCCTGTAATTCCTTTTATATTTATCCCTTAAAAGCCGCGATGTTTGAGGGGTCCCTTGTTTTCAGAAATTCCAGAATAGCCTGATAAATCTACTCCTGTAGGGCGCTTGCAGTCTTTGGAGCGGATG